CCCCCCCCCCCCCCCGTCACCCCCTACCTGAAGGTCTGGGTCCGCCATAGTCTGCTACACAGCCGTTTTTAGTGTCGTCACGCAACGACACTAAAAACGGCTGTGTACCAGACTAGGTCCGCTACTGCTGCATTAATATCGAGAAACGATAGAATGTGGCAGTTTGAAAGCACAGACAAAGAAACAAAGAACTCCATTAGAGAATGTATACTTATTATCGATATCTGTGAAACAGTTTTGAAATCTTGTATCGACTTGTAAGATTTTGTTCAATCCCACTTGGCCTCACGGACGCATGACTGGTTTGTGTGTACTAGTGTTGGGAATCAGCTGTTTTGTCAATATCGTAGATCGCACTTTTGGTTTGTCAACCCTCTCAAAGTGCAAAGTCATGGCTGTTTACCCAAAGGCGGACAATCTTGATGTCACCGCGCGACATGTGATCCCACACATTTACTGTATTTCGTAACGCCCCCACTCGGCTTGATCCAAGTGATCGGTAGAAATGCTTTAAAGTTGGTAAGGTCGTTTTTCATATTATGTATTAGTCGGGGGTGTCAGTTTCAAGCGACTGAAAACACCACAAAAACGCATAACACGACGCTTAAAACATACGGTAAGTTATCTTTATTCATTTCATTTTTGTTACATTATGTCAACATTTGGGATCAAAAGGTGCAAAATTCTGTGTTTTATGAAGCATTTCTATCCATCACTTGAATCAAGCAAGGTGCGGGCGTTACGAACAGTCCAACCTCTCTAATACGGACACCGAAAGGATAGAGCGAAGTGTCCGTATTAGAGAGGTGTCCGTATAAAAGAAGTCACTATGATGACATCACTTTTATGACTCCACTTGCAGTTTTAAGTGTTCAGTAGCTAAACCCAGACTCACACTCCTCTTTAAACTGCATTTAAAGTTAATATATAGATTTAGCCAGGGCTAAAAGCGAAGCCTCCGTTTCTATACTTATGATAAAAACAATCAAATTAAAGTAATAACATGGGCCCGGTTGCATAAAACGTCCGTAACAACTACGGGTACACGTACGTGCACTCGTAACTTAAGTCAGTTGCATGAAATCACTTAAGTGGTCCACTTAGGGAATTCACTTAAGTGGTTGCACTTACGATTTTCGTAAGTGTTCACTTAAGTGTCGTTTATGCAACAGAAATTTCGGGTGTTGCATAAAACTTTTTTACGGGAAAAATAGCACGTAAATTTACGGGACCTATGTAGGTCCCGTATCGTCACTGTTTTTACTAAATTTAACGAGATCTTTTACTGAGAAGTGAAAAAAAGTATTTTTCTTCACGTAATTCGTTCTAATGCGCTTTGTTAACCTCTGATGTACACTTTTGTGAAAAAAGGAGAAGAACTATCATTTTCAGTAGATATTGAAGAAAAATAACGTTTGCATGCAAATTTCATTTTTTGAGAGGCTTAAAAGTGTTAGAAACGTTTTTTAAATTTCTTTACACTCACCGATGGTTAGCTTAAAAAAAAAAAGAGTGAATCGTTTATAAAGTACTATATCAAGGTTACGTGTGCCCTTAAGTGAGCCCGTAAGTTACCACGTAAAACAGAAACTTACGAGAGTGCTAAGTGTGTTCCATGCAACACCCGTAAGTGTACCCATAACGGATTCGTAAGTGACCTACTTAAGTGAGCACTTAAGTGCAGGTTTTATGCAACCGGGCCATGAACTCTAAGCCAAAAAAATAAATCTTCACATCCCTAAGAGCCTTCGGCATAAGACACCTTTAGAGGGAGCAGCTAAATGATTAAGAAAAAACATCCCGCAAACAAACCTGAATTGAAAAAAATTGTTAAATTGTAGGTTACTAAGGTTACGATTTCTAGGGTCGGTGTTTCTGTGTTTAAGACCTACAAGAAAAATTAGGCCGACTTAAGGATTTTTGTCTTCCCACAAGCCCATTATATTTTCTTTTCTTTTCTTTTGTTTTTTAAACGGGCCCGAACAGTTATGTGTAGCCTTTACATTTATACCTCACAATATCTGAACGAACATTTTACCGTAAGGTGTATAATATTTTCTCTGAGAACAGACATAGGAAAGCAAACGATAACCTTTTTTGCCACTAATTATAGCAATAATCCAATCTTTCACTACAAGTATAAACGTTAACACAGCAACTTACAACATTTTTTTTTATTAAACTCGGGCTCGAAAAGCCGGCGAGTCTGTCCGTTTTAGAATCTGAGAGAAGAACTCTTTCATTTTTTAGATGAGCTCACTTTTTCAGTGGGAATATAAAGCCGTAAACAAACAAATGAAAACAAACGCAGTAAACTTAATTCAAGTGGTATTCGGCTGTATTCAGGAGGGCACAAGTTATGGAAAAAGAGCAGCGCACTGCACACTGCAAAACTGTAGAAATTCTTGAATGGTAAGTAATGTATGAGAAAATGAATAGTAATTCAACATGTTCAATGCGGAACATGTACAAAAACAACACTTCAGTTTTAATAATTTCAAGAAATAAGGGCTCGTCTGAATGTTTCTAAAAATCTCACGATCT